CACTTTATTCCCCTTAACTCCATCCAGCCTCTGCTCCAGCTCCTCAGGGCATCAGGGTGAGGCAGGTTTAGGTGGGAAGGATTTGGATTTCATGCCCCTGGCAAAGGGAGGTTTGGATTCCTGAAAAATCCTCAAGGTGGGCTGGAAACACCTCACAAAGAGCAAAAGGAAGCAGAGTTAATTTAAATTAACTGCTACAAAACAAAGGGAAAATAAATAGACATTCAGGCATGCTTGACATGAGGGGAATTCTAAGCAGCAAAGTTTTAAACCTAAACACAGCAGGAAAGGGGTTTGTGGCAGGGTGACCATGGGGCTCCCAGCAGGCACAGAACTCAGTGTGCAGCAGCTTTCCCAAGGGTTTGGGGGTCACACAGCCAGGAAAATTCATCTCCTCATGTACAGGAGGCCCTCAGCCCTTCCAAGCCCTTTACCACTGTAAAGGAGAGGGAAATTTAAATGTGTGACACCTCCAAAGCATGGCCCAGTTACCTTCAAGTTTCTCATTAAGAGACAAAATTAAAGCAAGGGCAAAGCACCTAAAAATATTCCTGCACTGAGGGGTGACCTGAACAGGGCTCTGGGAAGTTTCTTTTTCTGGTTATGACTCCAACCCCTGTCTCCCTGTGGAGCTTGAATGCACCAGGAGAAGGGGGAATGTGAGAGGACTTTTGTGGGCTCACAGAGTGCCCAGTTTAATTTATTCCTCTAGAGAGGAGCCAGGCTGCAGCAGGGGTTTGCTGAGACAGCCAGGAACTGAGGTCAGGCTGTGCCCCAGGAACAGGAAGGTGCAAAGGGAGCAGGAGGAATCCCTTGGTGAGGCAGGGGCAGAAAGGCCGGGCAGGAAGGGGAATTCAAAAGCTCCTTCCAGCAGCTGTTTCCTCTCCCCTTCTGCCAGGATCCTGGAGGAGCAGGGGCACTGCAGAGCTCTCCAGGGCTGCAGTTCATTGTTTGGGGTTCTTTTCATGCTCAGGCCTCCAGAGCTCCCCACCAGCACTGCAGGGATGCTCCAGGTGGAAATGCAGCAATCCAGGATTTCCTTCCATGGACAGGAGGGGTGCCCTGGCCAGGCCTGGCAGCTCCAGCACCACCACCCCACCAAAACCACCCCAGCCTGCTCCAGTGCCAAGGAAAAGGGGACACGAGATCCCTGCTCCAAGGGGCTCTTTCCCTACACCCAGTATTTGCTGGATTCCCTAATTCCAGCATTTCCCTAAATNCCCTGAGAACATCACCACCCAAAATGCATCTTTCCACATCAGACATAAAAATACACTGAGAGACATAAACCCTGACCTGCATGAAAGCACCAGACCCAAACAACCCCCTGGCCTTGCACAGACAGGAGCTGCCAGAGGCTGAAGGAAGCTGGAGGAGCATTCCCCACCTGCCAGGGGCAGAACACCTGGAGCAGCTGGAGCTGCTGAGCTGAATTCGAGTGCTCAGGCAGGAAATCACTCAGCCCTGGGCTGGCAGTGCTGGGCTGCTGCAGGACCCAGGCCCTGTCCCCAGCCTGAAAAATGGCATTTATCCCAAATAATGAGGGCTCCAGAGGGGACTGTCACCTGGGGACACACTGAGAGGTGCCACCACTTCCCTGCTGGCCTGGGACCTTCTCAAAGCAGCACCTGGGTGAGCCCCCTGTGGCTTTTGCTTCCTGGAGGAGCCCAAGGAGGGATCTCCTCCAGCCCAGCGGTGACAGGGACAGGATCCCAGAGGTGGCACTGCTGGAATGCCACCAGGGGCTGCAAATGGGAACATTCCCATGAGGAAGAGCAGCAGTGGCACTCAGCAGCTCCAGGCTGCTGGCTTCCAGTGCCACCCTGAGCAGGGCTGAGCCTGGGAAAGGGGACAGGGCCAGCACTCCCAGCTGGCCCAGTTTGTGTCAGGCTGCTGGCAGGGAGGGAAGGGACAGGAAAGGACAGGGAACACTTTCTGGGACACCTGCACTCCTGCTGCAGGGTGACACAATGACATTGCAGAAGGAGAGGCCAGCTCCCAGGGTGCTCCCAGGGAGATCCCAGCAGTGCCCAGAATACCTCAGCTCCTCCCCGGCTCTGCTGGGCCAGGGCTATTCCTGGAGCACCCAGGGGCTCTGGGCACTGCTGGCGTTTCAGTGCCACCAGCAGACACCAGCCCAGCACTTTCTGTCCCAAACAGTGCAGGAAGCAGAGTCCTGCTGGCCCCACATCCCTGGGAAGCTTTTCAAGCCAGGACTGCTCCTTGCACCATCCTGCTCTGTGCCAGCCAAAGCCCAGGGTTGATTCCTTAGGTTTTAATTTTTCTGTTCTGTGTTGGTGTGCAGCTTTAGCTTTATATTAAGTGTTACTGGGATCTTTTCACAGCACAGTGGAAACAAAACAATCCTGTTCCAGCTGGAGACTCAAGGACAATCTCTTCAAACTTCAGGCCCAAAGCATGAACAATGTGAGAAGAGGAGAGCAGGCAAGCAAGCAAAGAGGATGAAACTTCATCATTTGAAGCTGTTAATTGGACAGTTAACTCCTA